AAGAAGAAGAAGAAGAAGAAGAAGAAGAAGAAGAAGAAGAAGAAGAAGAAGAAAAAAAGAAGAATTATAATAATAATAACAAAAATAAGAATAACAATAAGAGTAATGATGACGATGATAATAATAATGATAATGATGATAACAACAACAACAATAATAATAATAATAGACATAGACGGATGAGCTATTACTATTATTACACTCATTTAAGAAATAGAGAAATGCTCACCTGTCATGAAAATTCTGGGTTCTTTCAGCAAAATTTCTTTCATTTCCACGTCAGAAAAGCCCAAAAACCCTTTCACTTGGAAGCGCGTGAGCTGTGGAAGATAATTATTTTAGTAACCTCAAAAAGAATCAAAAAGAAAAAATAACAAAACAAAAAAAAACATACAGAATTACACGGATAGCTCAAATTCGTTGGGACCGGCCTCGGTAGTTCGAGGGATCCGTAGTTTGAGGGATATCTTACAAAGATAAAGAAGAAGAAAAAAACGGGAGAGCAGGCATAGTTCGATAGAGTTTTCTGTGTTCGACCTATCTGTGTTATCCCAGAGGGAAACTTTCCTTGGCTGTACAGGACCGTAAAAACACATGCAGGTATACATTAAAAAATTTAAATCATATATATTACTCTCATTAAAATTCAATATGAAAATAAAAGGAGAAGTAAAGCTGACAAAATGTACATTTACATCAAATGCATCATTCAACCACATGCAGGAATTTAAATACTAAACCTTTGGAGTTATATACAGATACATACTCTAAGAGCAACACACATCTATGCTCATTCTGACAAAAGCCTTATGCTAGATGGTAAAAAAACTTCTTTTATATCTTTCTTTCTTTGTTTTTGGAGGCACATATCTGCCGCTGCGTTATACTATCTGTGTTATACTGTACAAGGTTAAATGTTTTCTGAAAAGTGCTTGAGTCACAAAAAAACACATTGACGTCTGCTAAAGGACATCTGACGAAGATAAGATATCTGTGTCTGTTTTATATCGGAAAAGTAAAAGAGAGCAGACCGAAGGGCTGGAACCCAAATGGCCGCTGGATCGGAAAAGTAAGTGTCTGTTATAGACATTTTTTTTTCATAACAAATCCAATGGCAATAATGTGTGTGTGTGTGTGTGTGTGTGTGTATATGTGTGTGTGTGTGTGTGTGTGTGCATGTTTGTGTGTGTGTGTGTGTGTTGTGTGTGTGTGTGCATGTGTGGGTGGGTGGGTGTGTAGGAGGGTGGGAACTGACATAAAAACCAACAAGGGTTGATCCCACACCACAATGGCTCATAAATATATATGTGAAACTTCCCCAAATCTGTCAAGCAACCTACAGCAATTTTATCCTTCTTGTATGGAAGAATCTTGGGATATTTGACAGCAACCAGTCTCACTTCAGGGCCTGTGGAAGAAAAGAAAATCAAAACCTCATTAAAAACACAAAACAAAATTACCTAGGTCCCTTTAAATATTAAGCTAAAAAAACACCCCAAAAAATCTTTAGAGACACAAATTTGAATTCAAACCACTGGATTCTTTTAAATTCTTAAGAACTGACAGTCTTAAGTTTTTAAAAAAAACAACACTTTTTTTCTGCATTTCATCAGCATCATCTAATATTATAATAACATAACTGTTGAAGTCAGGTTCTGGGGGTTTCCAATTTCCAAATAAAGCTGTTTTCAAATATCGGCATCAAGCGGCATCTTACATTGTACCTTTCTGGTGCCTGTAGTGTAGTAGAGGTTTGGTGCTCCACTGTCTCACGCGGGACACCCATGTTCAATTCCCGAAAGGAGAGAAATTGGTATCGAGTATCTCTGTGTTTCTGCTGGGACGTTGTACCACTCTCAACTCGAGTTGGCCCCACACCCCGCACACAAATATACCCCC